CAAAGTCAACAAAGACCCCAATTGGTCAAAGTAAAGAAGTCAAAGCTCTTCACGCCGAAGACCTCCAATTCTAAACTCCCTTTGGGCCTCGTTGGCTCTAAGAGGATCTGCAGACAATCTCTAGAAATGATTGATGTAATGTTTGTAATGATGAATGTCGAGATTGTCAGCTTAGGGTGTAGGGTGACTGACCCATTGTCAATGCATCAAACGAGTAGTAGACTAAGTGGTGTGAGGCTTCGACCCGGGACACGTCATCATTTTCGTCCAAATCTCAGATCGAAACGTGTTTAAATTTGCTTGCTTGGACGCAAGTAGGTCCAACATCTGTTGTCCACGTCACCCTTACAAAAAAAGAGGGGGTGGGGGGTGTCAACAATACATATGATGGAGGATACAAAATAGGACTCTGGGAAAAACCAACAAAAACTTCACGAAGAGGAAGCATGATTCAAATGACTGAAGGAAAAAAGGACTTTCTATAATTGAGATAAAATGGGATATCTGGAAAGGGAATGGTGCTATTTGAAGAAGCAAAACCTAGATGAGCAAGATGACAAAATTAATTTTGTGGCTTAGTGTATATCATGTTTCAGAAGATCCACTTGTATGTAGTAGCGGATCCAGCATTGAAGTTGAGCTCGGGCGGACGTTGACCAGTCAACATCAACAATCAGCGATCGTAAGAGTGAGGTTGTTTATTAATATTTAATTAAATAATATTAAAAATTATTCAATATATATGTGAACGTAAGAGCGATATCATTTATTAATATTTAATTAAATAATATTAAAAATTATTCAGTATATATGTGAAAGCACTAAAACGTGTGTGTGTGTATATATATATATATGAAAATGTAAAAATTATATAGATTATGATAGTTTTACATATTTGAATGTAGTGTCATTACATTTTGTTGGTAATATAAAAGTGAAAAGTGTCAACATTCATAAATCCAATTCCAAATCCAAATTTTCAATTCCCCCAGTTTCAAATTCAATTCCAAATTCAATTCCAAATTTCCAATTCTCCAATTCCAATTCATAAATCATACATGAAACAACACTGAAAACTAACATAAATCATGATTTCATAACTCATAAATAGAAAATAGAAAATAACACAAAAACAAAACGATGGGAAGAAAAGTGAAACTCACGGAGTCGCAAACAGTGGCGAAGCTGCAGCCATTCACACTGGTGGTCGGCGGTGGTGACGAATCCTGCAGGCGGACCACAGAAGGGAGAAGATGATCGGACACTTAGTCAGTGGCGAAAGGAAATCGGAATCGCGTTGAAGCCTTGAAGGAAATGATTTTGTTTCCAATTTGGTTTAATTTTAATTGGGGGAAAAGGGTTGGGCTGGACCTATATATAATTAAGTATTGGGTTGAAAAACAAATTGCCCAACCTAATTACCAAAAAAAAGGTTGGGCTGGGCTGCAACGGCCCAATCTCATAACCAAAAAAAAAAAAGGAAAAGAAAGAACCGATGAAGATGATGAACCGGAAGACAGAACGGTAGAACCACTGAAGTCTGAACCAGGCGCCGAGCCGGTGGCCTTCTTCCTCCCAAAACTCTTCTGGCGGAGCCCAACACGCCCACCCCCTTTCCCTCGGCCGAGTGCTGAGTCCACCACTGCTTGTATTGTTTCATACTTGTATTTGAATCATCTTAGTAAGGAGATTTGTTGAAAAAAGTTGGTTCTATAAAGTTAAGTTAAATTAAAAAAAAAAATTTGTGATATTTTTTTCAAGTCTTTTATTGCATTCATACTTAAAATTTCTAAATGTTAGAAGATTGCTTAATATGCACAAGTTAGAACAAATTTTCTACAATTTGTAACTTGCACTTATACTGATATTCTTATTATAAACATGAAAAAAATTTGTGTTTGTTTATAAGATGCTTTAAAAGAGTAGCATACTGAAACTCTAAATCCGTCTCTCATTAATTTCATCGGATTCTAATTAAAATCTAATCCATCGACAGCTATAATCCTCACCATGAAGGTATATGACTTTTCTACCCTAGGTCAAGAGAATATGATGGGGACGATTTTGACTCCATTATTGATGGTTATGAGTTAGTTATGGACTACTCGAATTTGGGTACGACAAATATACGTAATCACATTCAAGTATCGAATTTGAAATTTGTCAAGAGTAGGAGAGACACTTGGTCGGAATGATAACAAAGAATAAGTCGCATGAAGTGTAATTATTAAACCTTTATTGCATTTCCCATCTTTGGACGGTTAAGTTTTTTTATTTTATTGTATGATGTTTTATTTTATTGTGTAATTATTAAACCTTTTATTATCTCCTTTTTGGATTTCAATAATGCGGATTGTCGTCCAATTCATCTCACTAAACATGCTATGAAAATTTACAACGTAATCTTCTCTGATTTCACAAGCAAAAAATTTTGCACTAATAATGTGCAAGAAAATAAGTATTTGGAGAATTTATTTTCAATATTTTTACTTTTGTTGTAACCAAAATACAGGTACTCTAATTTTTCTCTGCATATACACAAATCATGGACATAGTCAGTAGAAATGACGTTGTCAGATAAAATGGATTTCTTCATATGGACCCACAAAATGTTACATATTTTTACCCATAGTCGTGTATATTAATTAAGATTTGCTACATTGTAATGGCATTGCCCCAAAATACAAGAAGTTGTTCCTGTGCCAGAATAATATTTACTGGAAATTCTGAACCCCAAAAAAAAAAAAAAAAA